TTCTACCCGGGTGTTATATTCTCAGAGTCTTCTTTAAACAGATTTATGGAAGGGGGGAAAAGGGAATTAGATTACAGAAACCTTGGTGATTGAATATGTTTATTTTAGCAGCCAATATATCTCTAGTTTTCCTAAGTTAGGGCTTTCTAGCTAGCCACCTGTTGATGTACCTGGGGAGATAACTACATGTTTTCATGATAAAGGAAGAATGTGCAGATGTTCTGTGCTTATAATGCCGTGCAAATCATTATCCTCTTTCCCAGGCTCTGAGGAGCCCATTAAATCCACCTTTTAGTTCCCAACATATTTTAGACTTTGGGTTTGGTGATAGCCGTGACCTATTTTTATGAATAATGCTTGCTGTGTTTTCCTCCCAGAGGCCAAGATCTATTTCCAAGACAGAAACTTCTTGGATTTTTATAAAGCTGTTGTCTGGGTAGTGGCCATGACATTTAATAATTAGAAATTGATGTTAATTTTTAAAGTATAATCTTTGACATGCCTGAGGTAAGCTCCAAAGCTATTAATGTTCATTACTTTATCTATTTAGCTCTGCAGCTGTTGTAATGATAAATATCAATGTGGCAACAATTAAGAGTTTGCTTCAGCATTAGTAAAACTGTTCCAGTCTTAAAGTAGTCCTCTCCTTTTCACATGTTGGCACTAATTTAAAAGAAAATGTCAGCCTCAATATAAGCATATACCGTGACAGTTCAGCTTTTTTACTTAAGTAGAAAAGCTGTTTGAAATTTAGCTTTCATCAAAAATGGGAAAACTGCCCACTTGAAATAAAACAATAGCTGAAATCTTAGTCATTTTCCACTTATGAAGCTCTGTTTCCATTAAAATAAACAATACAAATTGCAGGATGCCAAAAGCTTTATTCAAAAGCGTTGGGGGATGAGTTCCTTTTGTTTTTTGGCCATCGTAACCCAGTCGCATTGGAAAACAGGCACATTCTGGATTAAATAAGTTAAAATCCTAAATAGTCAGCTAATATTTTAGCAGAGAATTGGCAGATAGAAATGGGTTCAGGCATTCCATAAAAGTGAATAATGCTGCGTCTGCTTTGCTTTCTTTAAAATGTTTTCCACATTTCTTGAACCCTCTTGTTCAAGACCTCACGTTGACTGACACTTGTATGTGATGCGATCATCATTTTTTTTTGGGGGGGGGGGGGGGGCGTTTACCTCTGAGTTATTGTTGACTTCTGGCAACTCCCAGGCTAAGTCCCTGCAATTTTCTTGGCAAGATTTCAGAAGTGGTTTGCCATTGCCTTTTTCCTAGAGAGAGATGGACAGGCCGAAGGTCAACCAACTGGCTTGGCCTGTTGCCCTCACCAAATTGGCTCTCAACCATCATCTATCTTAACATTAAATCTTTAAGAATCTTAGTTGAGTGTTTGTTTGTTTTTTAATTGTGCATTGGGCAGTATTATAGCCCTTTTGGAACGACAGGTGTTTCAAACCACAGAAAATAGAAAAAGTTATGTTGTTCTGCATGCCTGTGGAGAATCAGCTCCCAGATTGCCTTCTGCTCCTCAGTTCTAACTCATTTTAGTTTAAACACCAATAAGGTTAACTAAGTGTGGGAGAGGGTGACAAGTCAAATTTGATTTTGACTGTTTAAAATGGTTTTCACTGAACGGATTCAGCAGTTGATCAATTCTGATGCCACTCATGTGTTGAAAATTCCTTGAGGTTACACACTAAAAGATGATTTGCAGAACGTAATGTGTGAACAAAAGCAACAACAAAATAACTGCGCAAAGTAAGTGCTTAACTCACTTGTAAGTCAATAACAGGAAACCTCTTTCAAATAAACTTAGTGTTGCCACAAAACTGACGTTAGAGTTGGCTTTAATGCAATTGTGCAACAGAAGGATTTGAAAAATAGACGGTGTCGTATTTTAGAATCCCTCACTTTTCCAGAAGAGGCAAATATCCTTGAGAACAGGGGCAGGACTCTACCGATTTGGACTGGTTCGGGTGAACTGGGAGTTTCTGTGATAATTTGGCCCCGCCCACCTGCCTCTGCTCTTTCCTGTGCTTTATTTCCTTGTCTTGGAGCACAGCTGATTCACGCGGCAGAGCAATTTTGCTGCACCTTAGCTGTTTTACTCACCGGGGCTGCAGTAGAAGGTAAGTATTATAGCTGAAAATGGGTTTTTTAAAATGGCATTCATGTGCGCAGAGCTTACATTTGGTTCATGCGTGCATGATCACCAAACCGATTGTTACACCAGTTGAATTCCACGACTGCTTGAGAACCATGTGTATAACTAGTGAAGAACTAGTGGTGGTGAATCTGTGATGACCTGGGGCGTGGCACAAAGGCAACACAGTCAAATAAGCAATGAGTCCCTTTATTTTCTCCAACTTTGCCCCCAGTGTCCAAGTTACCTTCGGCTGGAGAAAAACTCCCAGGAACAGCCTTTAACTGTAGAAAATTCAGTCCAAAACAAGGGACACACAAACTATAACTTAAAATCCAAACAAACCAAATTGAAGTAATTAGCTTGACAGGGCAGGAGGAGGAATTTCAGGCTTGAAAGTACAGCAAAACTCACATGTTTGGGAAGACGCCAGGAACACAGATAAACCACAACGATACAAGATAAATTCACATTTGCTCCTAACAGCTTGCTGCGTGCAGCTTCCTTTTTTATACACTGTGTTCCCAGCTGCAGCTAATAAAGGGAATCAGGGCCCTTCCCTCCCCCATAAGCCATGCAACTCACATTTCTCCCTTCCTCCCTGTGTGCCCTAGGATGAAGAGGGGTGGGCCTGGATCTTCCTCTGAATTCCCTCTCTCTTGCTCTACCTCTTCCCTGCTCTGCCCAGCCAGACTTTGCCCTTCCCCAGTTTCTTCCACAGCCAACAGCTGTGCCAGAGTGCTGGAAACTCAAAGACCAGCTGGCCGGTGCATGCATACCTGTTTTTTTTTTTGCTGTTTGGGGGCTGTTTTCAGGCCATTTGGGGGGCATCTTCAGGCCAGAAAACAGCCTGGAAAAGGCCATAAAAACGGCCTGTATTTTGGCTGTTCTCAGGCCTTTTTCCGGGGCTCTGGCACCCACAAAGACCAAAAGAGCAGCTGGCAATGGATCCATGCCCACAGAGAGGGCTCTGCATGCCATCACAGTAATATCAGATAAGCTATATCTCATACACATCACAAGGAGGAATTGATAGAAACATGATCTCCCCTTGACTTCTCTGTGATATCAAAACATAGCCCTGTATGTCAGCATGGGAATATTTTCTTAACCCCTAGAATAAATGTTATTTACCGTTAACCATCAGTAATTATTTGTCCATACGGACATTGTAAGTAACAATTACTTATATGTCATTATTTCCTGGTCTTTTTATTTCCTCTCACAAAATGTAAAGAACAGATCACATTTTTTTCAGATTTCTAAATAGAGCTAAGGAAAAAAACAACCCTGAGAAGTGTTCATTTATTTCAGTGCTCATATAAATTATTTAAACACTTCATTCAGTTCTCATTTATTTCCCATTACAGTTACTATCTTGTGGTTGAGAGGTGTTATAGCACTTTGTAAATATGGAAAACAAGCTAATTATATATTTAGTAGCATATTTTGAAAGAGAAATATTTGGCACATTCAGCCTTTAACCCACGCAGATTTCAGGAATAATAAATGTTGTCAGCATTATTCATAACTTCTAATGTTTTTATGTTTCTTAATGCAGCATTCCTTTCAAAATCTCAGTATGGCACGTGCTTTTGCACATTTATGCTCAATAATTAAGTCAAAGCAACTGAAGTTGTTCTTTTTTTTTAAAAAAAGGTGAAAAACTTGCTGTTAAAATGTAATTAGTATGTTATCACATAAATGTCTATAAGTCTATAGTCACCAAAATCAGCCATAGTTACTCGTTCTTTAGAGCATACTTAAAAGCCCAACAAATATGAAAAGGAAACATGCATTGAAAGATTAAAACACACTCATTCAAAACTCATAGTAATTGTATCATATGAAAATGATTCGGAATGCTTCACTGAACTTTCATTAAAAGCTTGAAGGACAGAGAATACAAAGAGAGAGTGAGATTCTTTCTTTGTTGACTCTTCGTTTCTTTAACTCCTAAAGCACCTTTTCAGCTGTGATCTTACAAACATTTATCAGGATATAAATTTCATTAAATGCATTGGATTTTCTTCTGAGCAGACATGTACACAGAATTATGCTCCTACGTGTTTAATGCAGATTTTTGTAACCTAAGCTTTTATAATTTTTACTTTTTTAAAATAACTTGTATAATTTATTACTGTTACATAGTTTGTGTAATTTTTTAATTTAATTAATTAACTTTTTATACTTTATAATTTTTACTTTTGCTTTAGTACTAGGAAAATAGTAACAGTTGTTTATTACAGAGTTTATGCCATTTTTCTATATAGTTCAAGAGAATATGATTCAAAGAATCCCATTGAATAAATATAACTCCAGTTTCCCAAGATATTGATTAGATAACTTTTTTTAACTTTAGATCCATCTTAATCTTCTTCCTACAGATAAATATTATAATTCTCATAGAAAAAGCACTCAATAAAATACGATTCATGGAGGGGTAGTTTTCTCATATTCATGATATTGGATGGGAGTCCCAAAGATGCTTTTTCAAGAGGCCACTGGACTTTCTGGTTTTTCTTTGAAGACGTTTTGCTTCTGATCCAAGAAACTTCTTCAGCTCTCAAGAAGCTTCTTGGAAGAGAAGCGAAACATCTTCAAAGAAAAACCAGGAAGTCCAGCGGCCTCCTGAAAAAGCACCTTCGGACAACCATGACCTGGAGGATTGAGAATCTTCATAGACATATTGGACGGGTGTTTTTGAGCTCTTCCTTCACTTATCTTTAATTGTGTATCTCTGGCATCTATTTCTATGTGGATTTCTTTTTTCACTTAATAGCAGCAATATTTCTTAACACCCCCCCCCCCCATGCGTAGCAATTTATTCTGTGTTTCTTTGCAGGGTTTCTTCTTGACGGTGTCTCCAGAATCCATAATGAAAGTCGCAACTCAAGCTTCTGCAAACAACAAGATCTTCACTTTAAATCTTTCTGCACCATTCATTAGCCAGTTCTACAAGGACCAACTGATGGAAGTCATGCCTTACGTTGACATCCTGTTTGGGAATGAAACGGTAAGAGCTTTTTGGAAGTGTCCTTGTTTTAATACTGTGCTGGCATGTAAAATGATAAGGGTGGCAGATCTGGGCTGCAGATTCTGGGCAACCACTAGGTGTCAGCAGAGAGAGAAAGAAAACAGGCTTTTGCTGCCAGCTACAGGTAGTCCTTGACAGGAGAACGGAGCTGGAAAGCAGGTTAGTGGAATGGGGAGAGAAGGGGGATTTTGCAGTATCCTTCCCCTGTCATGCCCACCAAGCCACCCCCATCAAGCCACGCCCACAGAACCAATAGTAAAAAAAATTGAATCCCACCACTGCATTGCATCTTAAATTTTGAGACACCATACTCCATGGAGAGGTGTGGACTCTTTCTTAGTCTCTTATTGTGTCATCTAGAAGCAAAAGTTATTTATGGCCGTTTTCTTTATTTTCATTCATTTGGCAAGCAAAGACCACATTCTAAAACAGGGGCATAACCAGAAAACACATTAAAACGATTTAAAGTAAATTAAATCAATGGAAACAATTCGTTTAATAATCTCTTCTATGTTTTGTATTCCAACCTGAGGGTAACCTATGGAGGAATTTTGGAAGCAGGAACCAAGGTTTTGGTTGGTGGTTGTGCACCTGACATATGCACCCTAACAAACTAGAAGTAATGGGGAAGCTAGTTTTATGGAGTTGTATTTTCATTTCAACAGGGACCCAGTGGCTTAGTGGCTACGACACTGAGTTTGCCGATCAGAAAGGTCGGCAGTTCAGTGGTTCGAATCCCTAGCGCTGCATAATGGAGTGAGCTCCCATTACTTGTCCCAGTTTCTGCCAACCTAGCAGTTCAAAAGCATGTAGAAATGCAAGTAGAAAAATAGAAGGTAAGGTAACAATGTTCCACGCACCTTCGGGGTTTAGTCATGCCAGCCACATGACCATGGAGACGTCTTCGGACAGCGCTGGCTCTTCAGCTTTGTAGCGGAGGTGAGCACCGCCCCCTAAAGCCAGAAACAACTAGCACATATGTGCGAGGGGAACCTTTACCTTTATTTCCATTTCATATAGCCAAAGCCAAACCCACCTTTAAAAAAATAGCTAAAAATTAAGGCATCGGGAAGAAGGTGGGAGACTGTGAGTTCAAGTCCTGCCCTAGCCGTGAAATCCAGCTGTCATACTCTCTCAACCCATCCCACCTCACAGGGTTGTTGTTGTTGTAAGGAAAAGAAGAGAAGGAAGGTATGTTGGATATGTTTGCTGGCTTGAGTTTTTTGTAAAAATAATAAAGGTGGAAGACAGGCAGGCAGACAGATAGAATAACTGGTTCTGGAAATCTCTTTAGTAACCCCTGAGTATTATTATTAAATTTTAATATTTGGGGTTAATATGTTGATTCATTGCAACCGTGAACTATGATGAACTATGAGTTATTTGTAAAAGGCAGGATACAATTAAAATAAACAGATTTTTTTATATATTAGAAATTAGTGTTACTGCTTACCTCATCAGTATTTATTAACTAGGCTTCACACAATAACTTTAGCACTTTTAGTAGAAGCAATTAATGCTTTTAACCAATTCTTGCCATTCTACAGTCATTATGTAGCAATCCATGATTGGAGAACTTTATTATTCGTCATTTCTTTTAATTATCACTGAATTTAGTTTTCTAATAGCATCATCGTGCAAATGATTCTTAGCTCTAATACCTTTCAAGTTTATTGTAATCACTGGATAATTAACCTGCTAGGATTTAAACACACTCAACTTCTCCTCAGGACATTTAGCACTCAAATGAGGTCAATTATCTCCCGATGATAAGTGCCTGGTCACAAGTTCTGCTCAATTCATCTTAGAACTGCTCACCTTAAATAAATAAATGTTCGTTGCCTAATTTTTAAGTTTTCGCTACTTTTATCACAGCTCTTTATATTGTCGAAGGAGGCAGATTCTAAATGCGACACAAATGCTAGATAGGATGGGATAGGGATAGAATAATAACTTGTTGTGCTTTGCTGGCAACCAGTGCAGACAGCAGCGGAATCGGACAGTGGGGAAGAGTGGGGACCTGTCTGGGAATTTGGGGAGGATTCGGAGGGTCTTGTGTCTGATGCAGAAATGGGGCCAGGACCACCTGGGAGTTATGTGCTGACTCCGGAGCCTCTAGAATCTGGCAGCAGCAAGGCAGAGGAACAAGGGGAGCCTGTTCCCAGTGCGTGTGTCCGCAGAGTTGCTAGAAGGCAAGAGCAGCTGAGACAAAAGGGACGACTTGGGAGTAAGGCTTGGAGGTGATTGCCCCTCCCCTAAGGTATAAAGGAGGTGCAAGGGTAGAGAAGCCTTTGCAGGAAGCAACTTTGTTTGCTCTGTTCAAATTAAACCTTGAAGCTCTGTGTGGACTTTGTACTCCGGTTGACTTTTTACAGTTAATTTGGCACTTTAGTTGTTGGCAGCAATTCAAAGGAGAGAAAGGTGGGTGCTTATCTCGAGGAACTGTTTGGGACTCATTACCGTCTGGGAATGAACATAATTCCCAGCGTTGAAATAAAACAAGAGTTGTTTGGACTAAGCGTGTGCTTAATTACGGTCTTAGGAAGCCTTAGTCAGAACAATGGTATAAGAACAGCTGAGAAACCCTGTGCAGCCACTATCAGAACATAAATTTGCCAAGGGTTCAGTGGTGGGCTGCTGCTGGTTCAGACAGGTTCTAGCGAACCGGTATGAATGACGATCAGCTGGCCCCGCCCACCCACCCCCGCCCTATCCTGTCTTACATTTCCGTATTTTGCCGTTCAGCTGATTCACGCAGCAAAGTGGATTACCGTGTGCGCTCACAGAACTGGTTGTTAAACCAGTTGCAGCCCACCTCCGCAAGCGTTCATATAGTAATTGGACAGAGAAGAAATGGTCAATCTTTTGTGTTGGACCATAAGGATCCATTATATAGGCTTCAAGATATTCACCCTCACGGGGTTTACAATTCCCAGATTTCCAACTGTGTGGCTTCATCTGTTGTAACATGTTTAAAACAACAAACTAATGTTTGAAGGGCCTTTCAATTTATGGTCTCAGTTAACATCGTGGACATTTTATATTGATCCAACCAAGAACTCTGGTGATATAATAACCTGTGGCTACAGAATTTTTACAAATATGGCTAATTTCTGGAGTACTTCCCCTGCGAGAAATCACCCAGAATGACATTTTGGTTGGTTAAAGGCTGCTGCATTCCCTTGTCTTCTTTCTTGGTGAGGCCCATAATCCACCAAGGTCAGAAAGGCAATTTTTGCTTTTTCCCAAAGACAGTGGAGAAATGGCAGACACATGGGCCCACACTTTAATGGAGGACTCTGAATATTCTCTCATAAAATCTCTCCCCAACGGATGCCCTCCAATAACCGCTGTTCCTACATTGTAATGGATTCAAATCTCCAACGGAAGATGAGAGAAATTAAGTAAAAAGAAATAAAATATGTATCTTCCTCTAGAGGTTTAGGAAATTATATTTGTGAATTATTTTGGGACGTTCACTGTTGCACTGAAATCTGCAAGAAAAGGTTCCCCTGCTATGATTATAATGGAGGATTTTCTATCATTACCCCTTCTGGAGAGTTACGAAGTAGTTGCTCTATGCCCAAAGAAATGCTTATTGTATTCATTATACACCATTGTAAAATAGTTACGTTCATTGTGAAATAACTGTTTTACTGAAGGCAGAAGAATATCAAAACAAAGGTAACTCTCAAAATACACCGATTTCCACTTACCTCCCAATTTCTGCCCTATTCATATATGTTACAGATGTCTTCAGATTTCTGTCTGGTTTCCCTACATTTGGATAAGAGGGAATGGCTGAACAGCCCCATATCGTATTTCCAATTAATGTTGAAGGAGTCTTTCCAATTACATGATTTAGCTTCACAGCCATTTTACAAATTGGCTTAGGTACAAAGATAACGTAAATCCTGCCAGTAGGTTTTATTTATACGCTCTCAAAGGCCAACATGAAGTATTTTCAGAGTATATGGAAGACGCTGGGCTCTGCAATCCTCAGCAGAAAAGGAAGTCAGAGGCCCTCTTCCCCATTATTTCAAATACTTCACTATTTCCAAGAAAAATAAGTTGTAAATGGCTGAGGCAAACCTTCTACATTTCTGTCTCTAGGAAAAACACCCCCACTGATTAACTAATGTGGCGTTCCTAACCCAAGGCAGAATGCCATTACCGATTCTTTTTCCTTGTATTTACAGCAAATTTAGACGCCTGGATAAATTATGTAACTTATTAGGGTATTCTGGTCCTGTTCTCACATTGTTTCCCTTGAGTTTTGGCTCTTTTTTTTTTTTTTTTAAAGAGAGAATTCAAATGTCTCCACTAACTTATGGTGCACCTTTGGTGGTGTCTAACTTTTTGAATGCTAAAATCATTTTGGAAATCATTTTGGTCAATATTTAAATTGGGGACTTTCCTTTCTTTTTCCCTCGTAGCATTGCTGACGACTCCGAGTGGTTTATAATCCTGCTGCATGTAAACAGGATTAAAACAAACAAGGAAGAATGTAAATGTTTAGAATAACGACTACTGCTCTTCCATTGATGGCTTATAGGCACGGTAGGAGCACAATTACACGATATCTAATACATATCGATTTTACAGAAGACAATGTTGAAAAAGCACTACGCAATCTAAAACCATCTCTATCTATTGGACCGGATGGAATATGTGCCTACTTCTTAAAAAAGCTATCCACTGCCATAGCCAAACCTCTAAGCATAATCTTTGAAAAATCTTTCAGGACCAGCTCCTTGCCTAACCTATGGTCACAAGCCACAGTCATCCCCATCTTCAAAAAGGGAGACCCAAGCCTAGTTGAAAATTACAGACCAATCTCCTTATGCTGCGTCACCTGTAAAGTCATGGAATCAATTATTAACCAATCCATCATCCTCCACTTAGAGACAAACAACCTACTCTCCAATAAACAATTTGGTTTCAGAAAAAAACTATCCTGTAATCTGCAACTCTTACAC